CCCCCCAAGCTGGGAGAAGGAGCAGAGCACAGACCCAACGCAAACGGGCTGCACTGGTGCCGAAGACACCTGCTCGGCAGCACTGTTCACAGGCAGGTGGCCAGGACGCGAGGCTGGTGATTCAAAGCTCTTTCCCCAGAGAGTTTCACCTTTTAAAGTGTTTTTAAAACTACAATAAAACTGTCAAATGTTTTGTACAAAGTGCCCGTCTTGCCTGATGGTTTGTGCCTGTGGGCAAGGCAGAGTGGCTGGCACAGGGACAGGCATCGTCTGCCTCTGGGTGGGCCTGGGGAGACCCCACTGGCCGTGTGTTCAAGTGAATGGCTCTTTTCTGGGCCACCCCCCCCCAGAGCTTTAGCCCCCATGGTCAGCCAGCGCCTCCCCCGCAGAGCAGCTGGCCCCTGAGCCCCTTCCTGCTGCGTTGCAGACCCAGCCCGTGGGACACAGGCGAGTATTGTCCTCGCCGGGAAACCCACGGAGGCCCAGGCAGCTTGAGGAGACTTGCCCAAGGTCCCGCAGAGAGGCCAGGCCACAGCTGGGAACAAAACAGTCATCCTGGCTCCCAGCCCCTTGCACTAACCACTGGACCCCATTCCTCTCCCAGAGCCGGGGAGAGAACCCAGAAGTCCTGGCTCCCGGTGTCCTGCTCTAGCCCCAGGACGCTGCTGACCGGCTTTGGCCGGCCCAGGAGACAAGCCGCTCCTGCAGCGCACGGGGTCGAATTGTGCCAGGGCAGAGGCCCTCGGTGGGCACTGCGCCGCGTGGGACTCTGCCTGTGAGTATTGCCACTTCCTTGCTGCGTGGTGGGTTTAGACGTGGCAGGCCCCTGTGGTGCCCCCGCCCCATCCCTCGGGCCGCTGACCGTAGCCCTGTTAGCCCAGCATGTCACACCGCGCATGTGCCATTTCTCCCCGCCTCCCTTCCAGGGCCGCTGCCCAGCCCAGCTGCCAAGGGGAAGAGCCTGCCAAACTCCCTGCTCAGGACAAGACAGCCCCTTCCTGGGGCAGGCTGGGCAGGGACTTCCCGGGCCATGGGGGGAAGCGGGGCAGTGGGAGGCCTGGGTACGAGGAGGCTCTGGGCTGTGGGGCAGGGAGGGAACACAACTGGCCTGTGCTGGGGAGGTTCTTGGGCCTGTGCGGCCCGCTGCAGCCCCGCTCGCAGCTGTTGCCCTGACATCAGGGCTCAGGCCCAGGCTCCCTGGCAGCCCGAACTGCTCCAGCATGGGCTGCTCGCATGTTTCCAGCTGTGGAAGCCGCCTAACCTTTCCCCTACTTCGTCTGGTTTCAGCTCCAAGCCACAGACCTCCTGGCGCCCGCCACTCGTGTGTTTCTCCTTCGAGCAGCAGATGTTGGGAATGCGGCAGGAAAACCCCCGCGCCGCCTTCTCCTGCTCAGCCCTGCTCCGAATGCCTGCCCGGGGGAGCAAGCTGCGGCTTGTCGGCCCCCCGCAGAAAGGCAAAGGCGTTTTTCACCTCCCCAGCCCCCTCCTCCCTGAAAAGTCCATCTGGGAATCAGAGCTTCAGAGGACAGGAGCCTAGACCCGGGCAGACCGAGGGCAGGGACAAGGGGGCGGCCATGGCCGTTTGCAGAGCGCCTGCCTTGGGGGGAGGCTGCAAAAGCTGCTTGAAACCGACTGGGGGAGGAGAGGCGTAGAGATGCATCAGCAGGCAGAACGCGGGTGCACCGCCCAACCCGGGGCAGAGGGTGGCTGTGGGGGGGGGCCTTGCTATAGTTAATCCCGCCTGGCACCATGCCCTCTGGTTTGCACAGGGGCTGCTTGGCCACCCCAATCCACGAGGCAGATCCGTGCCCCCTGGCACGAGCCAGGCATGGGCAGCTCGCTGCAGCCAGCCAGAGATTTCTCATGTGGCTCCCATTAGGAAAAGCTGTGGGAGCCCTGCGCTTTGCCACTGAGCCGAATGCAGCCCCCAGGCCGGCTGGGCGTGAGCTGGGGAAAAGTTCCCTGCTTTCCGCTGACTCACAGGGCTGGGCTTGGGGCTGGCCAGGAGCTGGCAAGGATGCAAGGGCTGTTTGCTCCCAGCTCAGGGTGTGCGTGGGGCGGCCCAGAGTGGGGCACTGATGGGGCCAGGGTTCAGGTCAGCCCAGCCTGCGCTGCAGGGGGTGCATGGAACTATCCCCTCAGCCTGGCTGTGTTGCCAGCATCTTGCTGGGCCTAGCTCGATGCTGGCAGGAAAACGGCCCGGAGCCAGGGTGAGATAAGGGCCCCTGATGCCACCCACACAGTGCGAGACGGTCCCAGCCCTGGGGAGCTCAGCCGTCAGATGCAGGGCCCCTGGGTCTGCCCAGTTTACAGCCGGAGTGCTGCTCCCCGGGGCAGCTCTGTCCCTCTGCAGGCCCGGGCTGGGGCGGCCGCCTCCCCCTGCTCAGACCATGCGCTTGGGCTTTGCACCGCCTCTTCCGCAGGGTTGGTTCCCCTGGCTGTCCGACAGCCGGACTCCCACGTGCCCCCAGCTCCCACTGCGCCCTCCTCCAGGGCAGGCCTGTGCTACCCGCTGTCTGTAGCCCTTGGCCCTGCTGGGTTTGGCTCCTCCCAGAGTCCTCTAGCACTGGGCCAAAAACGGGGATCCAGGACTTCTTCGCAGTGCAGGGCCCTGTACGGGGCCCAGACCAGCCCCCTCCCTGCAGTGGGGCCGGGCCCAGCCCCACCTCTCAGGCCAAGGCAAGATGGGGCAACAGCTTTGCCCAAAGTTTCCTTGTTGCAGCCAACCCAGTGCAGCACGGCTGGGCCCTGCCAGCTCTGGCTCCGCAGGGGACGTGGGTGCTCTTCTCCTCACGTTGGCACCAGAATCAGGGTGCCACGTCCCTTCCTGTCCATGCCATGGCAAACCTCTGCCCAGGCCAAGCACAGAGGGACGCTAAAGCAATTGGGGGCAGGTTAAATACAAGGATCTTGCTGGGGGCTGGACAGAGGAGGGGAGGGTCTGGTGTGGCCCCATCTCCACAGTAGCCAAGTCCTTCCCCATCTTCCCAGTGTTTAGTACCTGCCCAGGGAGCTGGGCTGAGCCGAGCCCCTGTCTCCCAAGGACTCCCAGTGCCCATGGGCAGAGGGTACAGGGCGCAGAGGGGTTACAGGCATCCCCTGGGTCTGGGCGTGACAGACCCCTCCCAGAAGGTCTCTGAAAGCCAGCATCACATGGGTTACCGCAGGCACTGCCCGGTGTCCATGCTGCTAAGGTGGCAGGAGACCCCTGTGCACCCTGGAAATTGTGTGCTCGGGCCTTGTGCTTAAAGGCAGGTCAGGCCAAAGTGCCAGGCCCTGAGACAGGCTCCGCCAGCCGGGAGCCAAGTACTGACCTGGCTGACCAGGGTGTGGCGTGTGGCTTATGCAGGAGCCTGGCTGGCCCATGGAGTCAGCTGCCAAGGAAGAGATGGAAGGGGCCTCCGCCAAAGAACGTACCTGGCAGGGACGGATGGTGGGGACCCTGGTTGCAGGTACAGAGCAGAGCTCTGGACCGTCTGGTCTAACGGAGCAAGGGGTGCAGAGAGAGGCCCTGCTGCCCAGGACCCGCTCTAGGCCCCAGGAAAGCAGGCACGTGCTGGGGGTGACACATTTCCAGGGGCAGCATTCTGGCCGCCCTCTTTTTCTTGGAAAAATCCGCCAATGTACGGAAAAAAAAATACAGGAAGATCAAAACCATCTCCAGTAATGCAATAGGAGCATGACGTGAAAAATATCGTATCACATCTTGACACGGTCACTCATAACGTGAATGTGCGTAAATGTGTAAGCGTTAACTGTTCTTGATCAACTAAATCAGGAATCACGATTACTTGTGTGTACATTTGTGCCAATTTCCATGTCATGTCGATGCCAGCGGCTAAAGGGCTCAAATGCTGGGACGAAAACGACTTTCTGGAGCTGCCTACCGGCCACAAAGAGAGAAACGGCAAAAAGCATTAGAAAAACTCTCTTGTACTCCAAATAAGTATTTTTTAAAAGTCTACAGTCAAGGAGAAAGCTCTAAGCAATGCCTTGAAAGTGATTCTTCACCAACTGATGAAGACCACTCGAAGCAAAGATTATCTTTATCAACTGATAAAGTCGAACAACAATCCGACCAAAGATTATCTTCCCTACCTGATGAAGACGGATGTTTCTATTGTATTTTGGAGGGTGCTATAACTTCCACAGCAGAACGATTTTGTCAGTCGCACGGTCACTGTGAAACTTTTGCATTTTTATACGATATTGGAAATATTAAAAATCAGTTTTCCCAAGATGACGCCCTGAAGCACGGCCAAGGCCTGCGTTTTGCGCTCCCTGCTGCTGGGTTTTCATTTTTATTTCATTTTAAACACCACAACACTGCAAAGTGCAAACTGTAAAAGCCCCAACAAAGCTAGAGCCGGCCCTGCTGCCACCCACCCGAGGGAGACGCTGCCCGCGGGCGAGGCCGTTGGAGGGGAGGGTCTCAGCCAGGCTGGGGCGAAGGACTTGGGGGCAGGCAGGACTCCAGTAGCCAAGCGGGGTTCGGGGCCCTGCCCGGGGAGGACTGGGTTTGTGGGTGCCCCGGGGTTTCCATTAACCCCGCTGGCTTTTCCTCCCCTCTCTGCTGGGTGTGGAAACTGGAGTCTTGTTCTCCCTGGAAGCCCAGCTGGGCGCCAAGTGGCCGGGGTTGCCCCGCAGGGCTGTGCTGGCCCCGGGGGCCGGGCCGGGCCAGGGGTGGCCCGTGGCTGGCGTGTATCTACAGCGGGGTACGGCAGCACCCAGGCGGGGGGCACTGCCCGGCCAGGGGGAAGCAGGCGGCTCCCAGCCCTGTGGGCCCTGGGGAGCTCCCCGCTCCCCAGCTGGGAACCGAGCCCCGGGGCCCCTCTCCTGCGCCAGCTCCCGCCGGGAACGCGGGGCGCGGAGCCGGCTCGCCACTGGAGCGACCCCCGGCCCCGCTCTGGGCCCCCGCCCCGCCTCCGGCGCGCGGCCCGGCCCCCTTCTCCTCCCGGGGCGCGCAGGCTCCTGCCCCGCCCCCGCGCGCCCCCGCGCCCGGCCAGCCCCAGCCCGGCTCCGGCGGCGGCATGTACCTGGCCGGGGCGGCGGCGGCGGCGGCCGCGCTCCTGTGGCTCCAGCGGCGGCTCTGGCCGCACCTGTGGGCGGACGCGCGGTTCCTGCTGCGGGCGCTGCGCTGCCGGCGCCGGGTGCTGCGGGGCGCGGCGGGCTCCAGCCTGGCCCAGCGCTTCGCCAGCCTGGCGCGGGCGGCCCCGCAGCGGCTCTTCCTGCGCTTCGAGGCGCGGAGCTTCAGCTACGGGCAGGCGGAGCGGGCGAGCCGGCGGGTGGCGAACGCGCTGCGCGCCTGGCGCGGCCCCGGGGGGCCCCTGCTGCCCGGCCAGACCGTGGCGCTGCTGGTGGGCAACGAGCCCGGCTTCGTGTGGGCCTGGCTGGGGCTGGCCCGGCTGGGGGCCGTGCCCGCCTTCCTGGGCACCGGCCTGCGCCGCGGGGCGCTGCTGCACTGTCTGCGGGGCTGCGGGGCGCGGGCGCTGCTGGTGGCGCGCGGTGAGTGCGGGCGCGGGGGGGCTAAGGGGGCGCGCGGGGGGCGCGCGGCGGGGGTAAGGGGGAGCCCGGGGGGGGCGGCCCGGGGGACGGAGGCGGGGGCTAAGCGGGAGCCCGGGGGGCGCGCGGCGGGGGCGGCCCGCGGGACGGAGGCGGGGGGTAAGGGGGAGCCCGGGGGGCGCGGGGGCGGCCCGGGGGCGCGCGGCGGGGGCGGCCCGGGGGGCGCGCGGCGGGGGGTAAGGGGGAGCGCGGGGGGAGCCTGGGGGACGGAGGTGGGAGATGGAGGAACCAGGCGTGGGGGGGAGGGGGGGATTGTGGTTCTCTGGGGGGCGTCCCAGAGGTCACTTGATAAACTAGCCTCACCCAAAGGATCATGGGGGGACGGGACACCCTGCCCGGTCTGGGTGTTATGGGGAGCAAGGGAGCAAAAAGCTGCCCACCCCGACCCTTGCCACGGGACCCGGCTTCCTGCTGTGACCAACTGCGGGCCCCTGGGCAGCTGCCTCTGCACCCTGTGGCCCGGCTGGGGACTGGACTGGCTCTTCCCCACCCGCCCAGCCGGTCAGCCCCAGAGCCCTGAACATGGGACGTAGTTGGGGCCAGGTTTTGGAGAGAGCCCAGCATGGGGCCAGCAGGTGCCCGCTGGGTGCTGGGGACGTGTTGGGTGCTCTGTACCCGCTGGGTGCCGGGCAGGGGCTGGGTGCTCTGTACCCGCTGGGTGCCGGGCAGGCGCTGGGTGCTCTGTACCCGCTGGGTGCCGGGCAGGGGCTGGGTGCTTGGCCCTTGGAAATCTCACCCCAAATGAGGGCGAATGCTGGGTGCGCTGGGGTCCTCTCAGTGCCATGACACTTGACTCCTACTGTAGACGGTTTTGGTACCGAAGGGGGGACAGGCAAGGCCCGTGACTCTGCAGGGACCCCCATGAGCACCGCACCGCTGGGGCTGGGCCTGAGAGGCGGAGCAGGCAGGGTCTCCAGCCAGCGCTTCGGCAGGGGCTTTGGGCTCCCAAGTGGAGTCAACGCTGCTCCCTGTGCAGCCTCCCTACCTGGGCCCCGAAACCACAAGGCCCGTGTGAAACCCTTGGCCTGAAACCTTGGCATTAAAGCTCCTGCGGGCGCGGGCTGGCTGGGAACTGAGCCCCTGAGGTGGCTCCTTGGCATGGCTCTGAAAGCCCCAGCTCCTGTGGGGCCAGGTGCTCCTGGCATTGCCCAGTCGGGCAGGCGGGTCTCTCATGTGTCCCTGGCTCCCCAAAGGCCCCGGCTACAGAGGCAACCTCCTCACTGGTCACCATGGGCAGGGGCCCAGGGTCTGGGGCCTGGTGTCTGCACTGCGTCGATAGGGCCAGGGCCTGTGTGGTGCCATGTTTGCAAAGTCGCCGTGCCACGGGGGACGGGCACTGGCTCTGTCTGAGCAGCACCCAGCCCGACAGGGCCCTGCAACCTCCCCCGGGGCCCCGCAGCTCGGCCTGGCCGGACAGGGCCCTGATCCGGGCTGACGCCTCTCGTGCTGCCTTGCTATAAACCTAGGACTTGACCATGGCTCTGCTCAGGCCTGGGCAGAGCCAGGCTCTCGTTAATGCCGCTTCTGCAAACTCTTCGCCAGGCTGGGCTGGAAGAACCTTTTAAAAGAAGTTTGAGGGAAGTTCTCCCGTGTGCCCCTCCCCCCACGTGCCCCACCCTTCCCCCGCCAGCCGCTGTGCTGTGGCAGTAGGAAGTTTTTCCAGGAAGATGAGCCCCAGCCACGTTGTTTGACTTCCTTAAAGCCGAGAGCCCCAAGTGGGTGGATCCGCAGTCTGGCTCCTTGGACCCACGGCTGCCTGGGCCCAGCACAGAGCAGGTCCCGAGCGCTGGCCGGGCTGGGGCTGGGGCTGCTGTGGGTCGCTGGCGTCCCACAGCCCAGATGGGCTCGTTAGTGCTCCTGTCCCTGTGGCGCGGGGCGCTCTGTGCAGGGAGCAGGGATGGGGGAGGGGAATTCGGTGCCTGGGGGGCCCAACCAGGACGTACCAGGTGTGGGGCTTTAGGATGAGCCGGCTGGGGCAGGGCAGAGTCGTGCGGTGTTTGCTGTGGGGCCGGGTCTCGGCGTAGGCAGAGTGGGGGTATCCCTGGGGGTCGCCTGGCATCTGGGTCTGAAATCAGGGCACCCTCCTGGCATTGGAGCTGGGCCAGGAGCCGCGTTAACTCAGCGATTGTATCGCCCCTCTGCAGAGCCCTGCCCCACCTGGGAGCAGCCCAGACCCCCCCAGCTCGGTTCACACCGACAACTTGAATAACTGTAATTAACGCAGCAACATGGCGCATGGCCCGAGCCACCCTCTGGCGTTGCCTAACGAGCTGGAAGTCATCGCAGTAATTGCTACCGCTCCAGGGCTTTAATGATGATTTAATTGGTGACAATTTGGCATCCTCTGCGGGGTGGGGAAGGCAGCCGGACGGGACCGGCGGGGGCAAATCCTGCCACGGCTCAGCCAGGCGCGGACGCTGTGTGGCCTGGAGCTGAACCCACGCTGGGGAGCTCACGAGAAACACGCGGCTCCGTTGCTGGGGCCAGACAGGATCCCGAACCCACTGCCCTCGGGTCAGGAATGGCCAGATCTAGCCCTGAGCTGGGCCTGGGCCAAATCCGCAGCCGGTGCAAATCAGTGATGCCCTTCGGCCTGCAGCGTGCCAGCGGGGCGGAGACCGCGGGGACGGAGAGTTTAGAGGGGAGAAGCCTTTGTCCCACTGAGCTAACCCTGCTCCGGCCTGGCCTGGCGCGCTGGCCCCTGCCCTGCTGGTGGGCTCTGGTCCCCCTTGCCCGCCCAGCCCCTCGTCCTTGGCATACAGCTCCGAGCACAGCCTCTCTCCTCGCCCTTGGGAGACGGCCCATCCCTCCCCACGTCTGGGTCCGTCTCCGTCCATCCGTCACTGCCATTTTCCGGCCCTCCCCCCATGGCTCATTACTCTCCTTTCCCCTTAACGACGGGGCACTGCAGAGGGTGGGGGTCTCGCCCCAGCCACGGGGCAGGGCCCCTGGCCTGTGAATCAGGCATTGTCTGCTGCCCTGTGCGGTGTCTGCTCCAGTCATTGGGTGGGATGAAGGAGGCCCCATCTCGGGCAGCGCCAGCTGGCCATGACTTTGGCACCGGGCTGTGGCCATCTGGCAGCTACACCCCAGGGCAAACGGATGGCCCTGCCCCGGAGCTCATGCTCTCCCCCTCCCCGCAGATCTGTGTGACTCTGTGGAGCCCCTGCTGCCCACCCTGCAGGAGCTGGGCGTTGTGGTGTGGGTGTGGGGCCCGGGCCCCTGCCCGCCGGGGGTTACCAGCCTGCAGGAGCTGGTGGAGGAGGCATCCGAAGAGCCGGTGCCCCCAGACTTATCCACGCCCAGGGACATGATGGACACCTGCCTCTACATCTTCACCTCGGGCACCACAGGTGGGGCCCCACCGCTGCCCCCAGGCCCAGGGCTCCCTGCAGGGCAGGGGCTGTGGGCCCAGAGTGAGGGGCATCCACAGCGTGGGCGGGGGTGGGAAAGGGTCAACCTGGTGCTCTCTGGTGCCTGCAGACTCTGCCCCTTCCCAAGCCCTGAGGTTGCAGGAGCAGGGCCCGGTTCAGGGGCCCGGGGGCAGTCTGTGCCCGCTCCGTGCCCCGATGCAGGGATCCCTGCTCTGGCTTCTCTGTGCATCTGGGGAGCTCCTTGGCATCAGGTGGCCGTGGGGCCGGGATGAACAATGGGGATGGCGGGGGGGGCTTCGGGGCCCCTGGCTCTGCAGCTGTGGGGGGATGGGGCAGTTTAAATGCAGACCACTCAGTGCCATCGGGGCTCAAGCCAGCTGCTGAGCAGGGCCTGAGGGGAGCAGCAACTGTGGGGCATCCCTCAGGGTGGGAAGCCGGGGTGCATGCCCAGCTTGAGGGGGCCCATCTGTGGGGACTCACCCGGAGCAGCTGGGGGGGCGCTGACCTGACCCCACTCCCCTGTGGGTTGGGCACCGGGGAGCCAGGAGCCTGGGCTGGGGCCTGGGGCATGGAGTGATCCCTGTCTCCCCCCACCGCAGGGCTGCCCAAGGCTGCCCGCATCAGCCACCACAAGTCCATCATGTGCCTTGGCTTCTACCGCCTGGTGGGGGCCTCCAGCAAGGACGTGATCTACGTGGCTCTGCCCCTGTACCACATGTCGGGCTCCCTGCTGGGCATCGTCGGCTGCATCGGGATCGGTGAGCAGGGCAGGAGGGGACCTGTCTGGGTCTGGGCTTCCCCTGGGGGTGGTGGGGGGCTTGGCACCAAGGGGAAAATAATCCCAACTGTCCATACCCGGTGGGGGGGTCTGATGAGCTGTTCCCCCGCAGGAGAGAGGTGCCGGAGCTGCGTAGCTCCCTGAGCAGGGACGCAAATGGTGTTAGGAGCAGTTAGGAAAGAGACAGATAAATAAGTCGGAAAATATCCCAATGCCACTATAGAAATCCCTGGGCCACCCACACCATGAACACGGCCTGTGGATCTGGTCGGCCCATCTCCACGAAGATGCATTAGAATTGGAAAAGGTGCCGAGCAGGTCAACACCATGCTCAGGGGGCTGGAGCAGCTTCCATCTGAGCAGAGATGAGTCAACCTGGGACTGTCCAGCTCAGAAAAGAGCCGGCGAAGGGGGGGATATGCTAGAGGTCTATAAAATCATGCCTGGGCTGGAGACAGTGACTAGGGAAGTGTTATTTACCCCTTCACATAACACAAGAACCAGGGGTCACCCAAAGAAATTAACAGGCAGCGGGTTTAAAACACACATGAAATACTTCTTCAGACAGCACACAGTTAACCTGTGGAACTCATCGCCAGGGGATGTTGTAAAGACCAAAAGTATAACTGGGTTCAAAAAAGAATGAGAAGGTCATGGAGGATACGTCCATCAGTGGCTGTTCAGGGATGCGGCCCCCTGCTCCGGGTGTCCCTAAACCTCCGACTGCCAGAAGCTGGGTCCGGGTGACAGGCGATGATGAGTCACTCAAGACTTGGCCCGGTCTCTTCGTCCCTCTGAAGCGCCCGGCACCGGCCGCTGGCGGAAGACTGGGCACGGGGCAGCTGGACCATTGGTCTGACTCAGTCTGGCCGCTCAGATGTTCTTAAGCTTTTGAGGCCCATATTCCAGCAGGAAGGGGGGCCCCTGAGACTGCGGGGGCCCATCTGGGCCAGGGGAACGGTGCTGCAGCCGTTAGAAACAAGGCCACTGAGCTCAGCGTGTCCATCCCTGGCTGCCTTGGGACCCGCCGGGCACCAGCCCCGCAGATCACCATAGTGGCAACAGTGACACTTTGCCTGTCCCAGGGCGCTGGGCTCCTCGCCAGCAAGGCAGGATATGGACATCGAGAGAGGCTGGTACAGAACACAGGAGTCCTGGTTCCCAGCCCCTCCCCCTGCCCTACCCCACTGGAGTCCACTCCCCTCCCAGAGCTGGAGACAGAGCCCAGGAGTCCTGGCTCTAACCAGTAGGCACGCTGCCTTGGCCCGGTGTCACCGTGGCCTCAGTGGGGAGGGTTGGTACCTGGCCCGTGGTGAGCCAGGGCCCCGGGGCAGCTCTCTGACAGCGCTCTCCCTGCCAGGTGCCACATGTGTGCTGAAGAGGAAGTTCTCAGCCAGCCAGTTCTGGGGCGACTGCCAGCACTACGGGGTGACGGTGTTCCAGTACATCGGGGAGCTGTGTCGCTACCTTGTCAACCAGCCCAAGGTCAGCGCCAAGAGCTGGGGGACTACGCGGTGCCAAGGATCGGGGCCCCTGCTGGGATTTGTACCCAGTTCCCTCCTGGATGCCCCCTTCTTAATGGTTCTGACCCACGAGCACGGCCTGAGGCGCCCCAGCCTTGGGGTGGGAGGGGGCAGCTGGTCAGCACAGGGCCAGCAGGATGCCCAGAGCTGCGGGCACCATACGAGCACAAACCCTCCTGCCCACTGGGGCAGACGGGGGAAATGGAGGCCTGGTAGCGACAGGGCCAGGAACAGACCCTGCGCTGGCAGCAGGGCTGGGAGCCAGGATGCCTGGGTTCTGTCCCCAGCTCTGGGAGGGGGGTGGGCTCCAGAGGTTAGAGCAGGGGGGGCTGGGAGCCAGGGTTACTGAACAGGTTAAGATCCTGCATTAACCTCTGGTCTGGGGGGGGACGATCCCCTCGCTGAACCAGAGCCCCCCACCCCCGCCCCAGAGAGAAGGGGAGCGGAATCACAGCCTGCACCTGGCCGTGGGCAGTGGGCTGCGGCCCGACGTCTGGCGGGAATTCCTGCAGCGCTTCGGCAACATCCGCATCGTGGAGACCTACGGCATGACCGAGGGCAACATCACCTTCTTCAACTACACCAGCACCCTGGGGGCTGTGGGGCGCGGCAGCTTCCTCTACAAGGTGAGCAGGGCAGGGCCATCGCTGGGCAGGGGCTGCGGGTCGGGAGTGAGGGGCACCGGCAGGGCTGGGGGCTGCGGGTCGGGAGTGAGGGGCACCGGCAGGGCTGGGGGCTGCGGGTCGGGAGTGAGGGGCACCGGCAGGGCAGGGGGCTGCGGGTCCGGAGTGAGGGGCACCGGCAGGGCTAGGGGGGCAGTGGCGGGGGGCTGCGGGTCCGGAGTGAGGGGCACCGGCAGGGCAGGGGGCTGCGGGTCGGGAGTGAGGGGCACCGGCAGGGCTGGGGCTGCGGGTCGGGAGTAAGAGGCACCGGCAGGGCTAGGGGGGCAGTGGCGGGGGGCTGCGGGTCCGGAGTGAGGGGCGCCGGCAGGGCAGGGGGCTGCGGATCGGGAGTGAGGGGCGCCGGCAGGGCAGGGGGCTGCGGGTCCAGAGTGAGGGGCACCGGCAGGGCTAGGGGGGCAGTGGCGGGGGGCTGCGGGTCCGGAGTGAGGGGCGCCGGCAGGGCAGGGGGCTGCGGGTCGGGAGTGAGGGGCGCCGGCAGGGCGGGGGGCTGCGGGTCGGGAGTGAGGGGCACCGGCAGGGCATGGGGGGGTCTCTGACTCTGCACCCCTTTCAGCTCTTCTCCCCCTTCGAGCTGGTGCGCTACGACGTACTGCGGGGGGCGCCGGTGCGGGACGCGGCCGGATGGTGCCAGCGTGTCGGCCCAGGTGAGTGGCAGGGGCTGGCCGGAGGGGGGGACCGGCCAGCTGAGGCCCCTGCTCACCGCTGCCCCCCACAGGCGAGACGGGGCTGCTGATCGCGCCGGTGACGCCCCAGAACCCCTTCCTGGGCTACGCGGGCGGCAGGGAGCTCTCGGAGCACAAGGTGCTGCACGGGGTCTTCACTGCGGGAGACGCCTACTTCAACACGGGCGACCTCATGGTCCACGACGCTGCCCAGTTCGTGTATTTCCGGGACCGTACCGGGGACACCTACAGGTACCCCCAGAGAGCCCCCCTGCGCCATCCAGAGACCCTCCTTCAAGGATCCAGCCCCACCCTGTCCAGAGAGCCCCCTCCCGGTGCACGCACCCCCTGTGCAGTTTGGGGAGCCCTTCGAACCCAGCGCCCCAGAGGGCAGGGCCCGGAGCCGCTGGTGTTTGTCCCTCTGGGGCCTGACGGGGCTGCTGGCTGCGTACCTCGTGCGCAGGGGCCTGACCCGGGTGGGCCCAGAACCTGGCCTGGCAGGATCCAGGTGCTTCTCCCAGTCCCCCCAGCGGGGGCGTCCCCGGGGTCAGGGGCTCTGGCTCTGCCCCGCTCAGGCTGCGCTTGCCCCCAGGTGGAAGGGTGAGAACGTGGCGACGACGGAGGTGGCTGAGGCTCTGGCCGCGCTGGACTCGCTGCAGGAAGTCAATGTCTACGGGGTCGCTGTGCCAGGTACCCCCCCCCAGCTGGGTTCCCCTTTCCCCCACTGCCCCCTCCCCTGCAGGCTGCTGCCAGGGGCTCCCCAGGAAAACGGGAAGCGGGGGGGGGGGGGTACAGCTGCCTCCTGGAGCCCAGTGGGAGAATGTTGGGGCAGGGAGGTTCTGTCCCTTCTGCCCCCCTCCCCCCCCGCACACACCAGTGTTCATTGCTCCCCTTCTCCCCCAGGGTACGAGGGCCGGGCTGGGATGGCTGCCATTGTCCTGCGGCCAGGCTGTGAGCTGGATGGGGCCCGGCTGTACAGCCACGTGGTGGAGTTCCTGCCCCCCCTACGCCCGCCCCCGCTTCCTGAGAGTGCAGGTAATGCCCGCTGGGCACCAGGACCATGGCGGGGGGAGTTCAAACACCACCGGCCTCCCTGTCAAAAGCTCGGAAACGGCACCCCTGGGGCAAGATGCGACTGCCTCTGGGGTTGGCATGAGGGCTCTTTGGGACAGGAAGTGACAAACATCCTAAATCCAGGTGGAGCTGCAGGGGTCACCTCATTAAAGCCCCAGACAACACATAGCAACTGCCCCTCCCCCCCGAATTGCCAGAGCGCCCCCCGCCCCCCAGGGCACCAAGCACAGCAGCTTGGGCTGGGTGAAGCTGTATGGGGGGGGATTCTGGCAGCTTAAAGGACCTGAGCAAAGACCCAGGAATCCAGGCCAGGGGGGGTGTCAGCCAGCGGGAGCCCCCAGCCTCTGGCACTCGCACCCGGGAGCTCTGACCCCCCTTGCCTCCAGCAGTCCCCCCCGTCCCTGCAGTGCATCTCACGCCAGGAGCAATGCCCCCTGCCCCCAGCCGCACTCTGACATGCACGTCTCCCTGGCAGGATCACCTGGCCACGACCCAGACCTTCAAACAGCACAAGGTGCGTCTGGCCAACGAGGGCTGCGACCCCACGCGCCTCCCAGACCCGCTGTACCTGCTGGACGACGCCTCGGAGGCCTACGTGCCCCTGACCCCACGGCTCTGGGAGGGCGTCATCTCGGGGGCTGTCCGGATATAACCCCCCCCCCGCCCCACCCGCCTCGGGCGCCCTCTGGCTGGGGGTCACCTGGGGAGACTACAAGTCCCAGCATGCATGGCTCAGCACCGTTGCATGTTGGGAGCTGTAGTCCCCCCTGGCCACACCTGGGCGCTTTGCTCCCTGCTGCTGCTTGGCCAGGGCCCGGGCTCTGGGGTGCTGCCTGCCCCCGAGGGGGAACAGGGGGAAACAAGGCTCAGGTGGCTGCAGGGAAGGATTTTTTCCCCTGTTGCGCCCTGCCCCCACTGCACCCCATGTTTTTCACCTCCTAGCCCCCCATCTCCTGCGCACACCCCACTCCTCTGCCCCAGGAGGCTGGAAGCTGGGAGCTTGGCCGTCTCGTCCTGGCTCCCCCATGCCTGTCTCCAGCAGGGCGGCTCCATGGGTGCCGGCTGGGAGCTGTGCCTGGGATTTGCTGGGCGGTGCCCTCCATCCCCCCTCCCCGCACTCGGGGGCGGCTCTCCCCTCACAGGATCTCGGCTCTGGACGGGCTCCCGGCCTGGGGTGTTGGGGCAAGGGAGCTGCCTGGGTGCCGCAGGGTCACACAGTGTGGGGGGCGCTGGGCGGGGACCCCAGGGAGCTGGATTCGGATCCTGGCTCCACCGTGACTTGGGGTGGCCTCGGGCTGGTCGCTGAGCTCCCAGCTGGGCCTTGGGGGAACAGCACTGCCTCCCCACAGCCGGATCTGGCTGGGCTGTTCCGACTGCGAGATGGGCCGGCAGGGACCGACCCTGGCTGCAGCCTGGACGCTTTGTGTCCAAGGACTCGCCAAGCGTCCTTTGCTCTCGGGGCCTTGGGGTTGGGGAGGGAGGTGACCAGGGTGGTGGGAGGTGCCGAGGAGGGGAGGTTTGTACTTTTTATACCTTTTGGCAAATAAAACATTTTTAACAAAGCTTGTTGCTCTCTCGTGCCCCCCCCCTTTGCCCCTGGAGCTGGGAGCCCCCCTTTGCCCCCCAGTGTCTCCCTCTGGCACTGGGTGTTCTGACCCCACAGCTGTGGCTGGGTAGGGTTAGGGTACGTCAGTTCTGCAGGTTTTGTCTGCCTGGGGGTCAGTTTAAGGGCCCCCCAGAGGCTGCCCAGGGAAGGGGGATGCAGAGGTAGGACCCAGGCCAAGCCCAGAGCCTCATCCCGGGCACCTGCATCTCCCCCATTGGCCTCCAGTCTCTGGCCTTGGACCAGTGGGTGGAGGGGAGCTGGAGCGTCCCCAGCGACCCCCCCTCCGTGCCCAGCCCGCCCACGGGTGGCAGCAGGACAGGCAGGGACATGATCGGGCCACCCCCAAGTTCCAGGCACCCGCCTGCACATTGAATCTGCCCTGGGCTGGGCTTGGGCAGTCGGTTGCACCCTGGTCCATGGGACACAATCTCCTCCCCGGCAGCCTGCTAGACACGAGAGCTGGGCCCCACGAACCGGGGCCCTGCCCGGGCATCACTAGGGCTCCATGGAGGTGCCCCCTCCCCCAGCCCCTGCATATGCACTGGGCCTGCCGGCTGGGTCCACCCTGTGGAACTCTCTGCCACTGGAAACATTAATGAGCAGAGCCACGTGGCAGCCGGACCTTGGCCATCCCCAAATTAGCCCCTGTGCATGCCCCCCATCCCACCCTCCCTCCTCAGCTGTTCAGACTCCTGCAGGCTCGAGGGGGGGTGTCTCTAGGCCAGGTACCCTGATATTCTGTGGCCATACCTGCCCCAGACAGATAGAGGCCTCTCCCCTGTGGAAGCCTCAAGGGGGGAAAGCTGCAGAAGGGGGGGCTGAGGAAGCAGACACGAACTCCACCCCCCCCCCGCCCCAAGGTTAAAGCTGTTGGCATGAGCCTCGCTGTCCCCAGAGGAAGGGAAGAGGAATCTGCCCCTTGTCCTGACCTCAGCGGCCTGGGGTGGGGGTCCCTGCTCGCCCCCCCCAGAGCAGCTCATGCAAATGCTGCCCCCACCCCCACAATCCCCAGGATCCATGCCCCAGGCTGGGTAAATCCCCTGATTTCAACCCAAACTGCGAAATGGGGTCAGGTTTGCTTGGTCTGGGATAGCAGGGGGCTGTGGATCGGGAGTGGGGGCACTGGCAGGTCCGGGGGGGCGGGCAGAGGGCTGCGGGTCGGAAGTGAGGGGCACCTTTGGCCGGGGTGACAGCTCCTGGGGTAACAAAAGAGGCTGGTTCCTAGGGGTCCCGCCAGAGAGGAAGCGTCTCCCCCTCCCGCCTGGCTCCTGCAAGGAAAGTTGCGGGGGGCGGGGGGGGGTCAGTGTCCCCACGAGGCCGCAGTTCCCCACTTTCCCCACCAGAGGGCGCCGGAGGCTGTTTGCGAGGACCCTGGTTTAGTTGGGTTTGATGCGGGGGGAGGTGCAGGGTCCAGGTCAAATTAATCTCAGGCAGAAACCGGGGCTGAAACCTGCCCGGGAAACTCCCACCCGCCGCCCCGCCGAGCCCCTGGTGCCCATTGCAAAACCCACCAGGGCTGGGCTAGCGGGGGCTGCGGGTCGGGAGTGAGGGGCACCGGCAGAGCTGGGGGGGGGAGCCCAGGGCTGGGCTAGCGGGGGCTGCCGGTCGGGAGTGAGGGGCACCGGCAGAGCTGGGGGGGGGCAGGGCTGGGCTAGCGGGGGCTGCGGGTCGGGAGTGAGAGGCACCGGCAGAGCTGGGGGGGGCAGGGTTGGGCTGGCAGGGGCTGCGGGTCGGGAGTGAGGGGCACCGGCAGAGCTGGGGGGGGCAGGGCTGGGCTAGCGGGGGCTGCGGGTCGGGAGTGAGGGGCACCGGCAGAGTAGGGGGAGCCCAGGGCTGGGCTAGTGGGGGCTGCGGGTCGGGAGTGAGGGGCACCGGCAGAGTAGGGGGAGCCCAGGGCTTTGCTAGCGGGGGACCGTGGGTCGGGGGGAGTCTGTCACGTTCCCCTCTTTCTGCTTCTCCAGCGCAGCGAGGTTTGGGGGTGCGGGGTCTCTGCAGAGAAATCCCCCCCAGGAGCCTAGCGGGGTTGGGGGGGTCCCAGTCAGTGGCGCTGCGGGAGAACGTGGTTGTGACGGGGCCTGGCGCAGCTACTGGCCTGAGACACCCCCCCCCGGCTCCCTCCTCACCCGGGTGTCAGGTGGGGCGGGCTGGGGGCGCCCTGGCCCTGCGGGGGGGCGGGGGGTTGTTGCTGTTGGAACAACTAAGCTGCGGCATAACCGCTGGGTGCCCCCCCGGCTCCCCCCCCGGCAGGCAGCGACGCCCCATTGCATGAGTTCCAGACGGGCCGGTTCTCCAAGCCCCTGTGTGGGGGGGCGAGTCCAGCACAGGGGACACCTGGCAGCCCCCTCACTCAGTGAGATGGGGGGCGCGGTTCTGAGGTCTGGGGGGCAGCGGAGTCCTCCTCTCCCCCAGCTTTCGGCAGCCCCCCTAATCCTCCCGGTGTGGGGCGTGCGGGGGGCCGAGGAATAAAATTCACCAACTGGCCCCGGCGGCGCCCTGCAGCCTGGGCCCCAGGGACGGGGGGGCAGCATGGACCCCCCCCGTCCTTTATCCCACTCTGGGGCCTCCTCCCAGCGGCTCCCCCAACCCCCAAACGGCCACCTGCCGATAGGGCAGGGAGGGGGGGTTAATGAGCTGGGGGATGATCCAGCTCCCCCCACACACCCCGCCCCGCTGCCCAGAAGCCAGGGTGAGGGGCACAGGGAGGAGGCGGGGCTGGAGCGAGGGGGCGGTGGGCAGCCTCCCCCCGCCCCCCCGCCGCCGGCTCCCTGGGCCCCTTTGTCCGCGGAGAATGGAGCTAAGCGCTGGCGAAAGTGACACCGTGAATGGGGCGCGGATTAGGGGCGGGGGCCCGTCTCCCTGGGTAACCGCCGGGGCTCGGAGTGCAGCTGATGGGATGGGGGGGATCCGGGACAGTGGCTCCCTGAGCCGAAGCTGCTGGCGAGGGGGACGCCGGGGAGCGCCGGGGGGGGCAGGCCCAGCGTTGAATGGGACCGAGCCCCAACAGGGGGAGACCCCTCCCCTCTCTCCCCCCCCCGAGCCTGGTTCATTGAGAGAAACGCCCCCCCCCCGCCCCGGCTCCCTCTCTGGGATCCTGACTCCGGGCCTGATTTCCGGGGTGCTGCAGCCCCCGACGCCCCCCACTCTGGCAGGAGCCGGACCTTGGCTGCAGAGCTGAGATGGGATCAAGGGTTTGTTCTGAGATTTGTGTCAAATCCACGGGAGCGCCACCCTCCCAGAGCCAGAACCCAGGAGTCCTGCCCCCGCCCCCCCAACATCCTAGCTAGGCCTGAGTGTGTCCCCCTCCCGCCCCCAGCTGGGGCCAGGGTCCCTGCAAGCCGGCCTGGAGCCGCTGGTGGCCGGGCAGACGGAGGGGCTCGGCCAGGCCTCTTTCACCCCCCCGGGCCCAAGCAGCCCCTGGGCCGGCCCATGGCCCGGGGAGCGCGCGGGTGGGGCTGGGGGTCGCTGGCTGCCTGGAGCGGCGGGGGCGGGGGAATGGTCCCCCCACCCCCCAGCAGCACCTCTCTGGGCCAGGGTAGATTTCAGCACCTGGGACAGCGGCCCTGCCTGGGCCCCGTCACCAGCGCCCCTCACTAGCGCCCCAGGGCTGCAGCGGGGCCCCGTAGGGAGGATCCACCTCCCCTAAATCCCCACCAGAAACGGGACCCCCAGCGGACGGAGCCGCTGGCCCCCGCCATCGGCTCTCCAAACACAGAGATCAGCTTAACGCCCGGAACACGGGGTGGGGGGTGTTTACTCCGCCCCCGCCCCCGCCCCCCCAGCCCCTTGGTTGGATTAAGCCAAACAACTAGAAAGGGCCTAGCCGGGCGAATCTTGCTAAAGTCTTGGCTTTAGAGGCATCCCGTGGCGGTGAGTTCCGCAGGGTAATTTCGCGGCTGCGAAGACAGTAGTAACTCCTTGTGCCGCCTCTCTGCTCTACGTCGCCCGGCCCCTGCTTCCAGCAGAGCAGGAGAGATCGGGGGGCTCCGGACCCCGACCCCGGACAGCTAGTCCCGAGTTTGTCCTAAAATACCCCCAGCCTCTGGCTTCCCCCCATCCCGGGCCCCCGCGGCCCGCCTCTGCACCCCGAGGCCCTCTGCAGCCGGGGGGGGGGGGTTCCCGGGGAAGGCTCCTCCTTCACTCCGCGGTTTGTTTGCTCCCCTCCAGCCCTGGC